ATACCTATTAGAACTTTATCATTACTACCAGCGTCAATTATTACTTCATAATTTTCAAATCAAAATATTCCGAAAACGGTACACAGTATCAAGTTTTACCAAGAGTACCTTTTTCGTCTAAAATTGAATGATATTTAAGTTTACTTAAAATTTTGATTAATAATTATACTCTTAAAAAAGTTATATTGACTAATACTTAGTACGATCCGTGTAACTAGCGCCCTCTATTAGAATCAGATATAAAAAACAAATTCATGGAATGTATCAGCTTCCAAAACATATTCGTATAGAATTTCATTACAATGTGGCCAGTAGTTTCGGCAAAATCGTAAAAATTGCGTAATTTTTTTTTCTTCAACGCAATAGTCTCTTAAAAACGGATGGCGTTACAAAAATTTTTTACTTAGCAACCCCCAATTATTTTTCAGTTTTTTACCTGCCCTAGAGACGGGGTTACCTTTTTTTGAAACACCCTATATATATATATATTATATATATATATATATATATATATATATATATATATATATATATGCTTTTCAGATAAAACTATCCACCTTAAATAACTTTTGAACTTCGAATTTTTTGGAAAAACGCAAAAACACGTCAGTTAATATTTGAAGGGGGGAGATATTATATCATATTTAATGTAGCTCAGAAATGCACCCTCTCACACCCCGTATCATCCCTTTATTTTTTTTTAATTACTAACTCCTTTTTGTATTATATATTTGGATTCTTCTTTTTGTACTGATTTCAAAAATGTATAATACCTTTGGCTTAAAGTGATTAGTTTATGAGATAGACAATTTTTTTCTTCTCTCTCACCTTAATTGACTGTAACAAAATAGGTTGTAGCATAATTTAAATTTTTTAAATATTTAACCATACTATTTGTAGTATCATCTAAAAACCAAGAAACAAAAAAATCATTTTTTATTAGTTTGATCAAAGGTTTTCGATATTATTTGGACATTTGTTTTAATCAGTTAATAACAGACTTGTAACTTGTAACAGCCTATTTTGATACGTGTTTAATTTGATCGCTAAAATGGTTTACACTTTGCAAGAAAGAATCAAAATTGTAGGTTTATACTACAAAAATAATAATTCTGCAAGAGCTGCTGGTACAATTTTTAATGAAACACACCACAATAGACATGCAACTCATAAGTATGTGATTGAACTGATGGAGAAATTTAGAGCAACACGGTCAGTCTGCAATAAAAAACATAACAGACAGGGACTTGCAAATAAAGCAATCTAAGTAGCTGCTTTATTGCAAGTTCACTTAGAGGCTTAGCAATCACAGACAGCCTTCCAAGTCCTTCATAAATTTAAGTTTCATCCATATAAAATTAAATTAGTACAAGCGTTAAATGAAGAAGATTTAGATCGTCGTCTCGAATTTTGCGAATTAATGACACAATGTATCCTTAATAATCCACAAATTGTTAAACAATATTTGCTTCTCGATTAAATGCTCATTCTCATTAAGAACGGTTTGGTTTAATGAACAGACATACTTGCCCATACTGGGCTGGGAGTGATACATATTGTATGCGAATTTCACACACAGCATCCTCAAAAGTTAAACGTATGGTGTGCTCTCCTAGGTGATCACATTATCGGACCATTCCTTATCAAAGGAAACTTGGTGAATTTTATCTTGAATTATTTAGGCAATTGGTTGATCGTATTAGAACAATAGTAGAAAATGATAACCTTTTCGAAGATTTAGTTGTATTTCAACATGATGAGCTTCTCCACACTTTTCTTTACCTGTGCGAAAATTTTAGAACGAAACGTTTTCCGATCCTTGGATAGGCAGAAGACGACAGATGATGGATTGGCCACCTAGGTCACCGGATTGAACACCTCTAGACCTCTTCTTATGGGAGTATTTAAAAATAAAAATTTATGATACTTAACCAGAATCTCTAGATGATTTACGATAAAGAATAGAGGATGAATGTCGACAATTAAATGCAGACGTGTTAAGCACTGTCAGAGAAAAATGTCAAAATTGATTGTACTATTGTATGGAAGTGAATGGCAGTCATTTTGAACAATTATTTGTAAACATTTTTGGTAGTGAAATGTTTATTCTAAATGTATATAATAAAATTGTTAAAAAATATCTTTTTTTCAATTCAGTTCTCTTGCTTTTCTGGTTATTTTTCTCATAAACTAATCCCTTCAAGCATCATGTGTTGTACATTTCTGAAATCAGTACAAAGAGGAGAACCCAAATATCAAATAAAAAAGGGGGAAGTAATTAAAAAAAAATAAAGGGATGATACGGGGGTGAGAGGGTGCATTTTTTAGCAACCTCAAATCTGATATAATGTCTCCCCCTTCAAATATTAATTGACGTGTTTTTGCGTTTTTCCAAAAAGTTAGAAGTTCAAAGTTATTTAAGGTGCATAGTTTATATATATATATATATATATATATATATATATATATATATATATATAAACCCAATCGGGCTATATTAAACAAACGACAAAACGTTTTCGGAATTCATATTCCATCATCAGTATCCTAAAAAGTATATAACCACTTAATTAAAAAGAACATTTAAATTTTGACCAAGGTAATTGCAAAATATGGTTAATACTTACTAGTTAATACATGAATGTAGCCAACTGAATATGAGGGTAAAAAACCCGTTAAAAATTAATTGTTTAAATTTAATTTACATTGTTTCTTATACAATATTAGGATGTTAAAGATACCGTTGGATTTGGTAACATGGCGACATATGACTCCAAGGGAAGTTGCTAGTCCTGAGACGGTATGTCTGGTAGAGACTTTACTTCCTCCCTAAACCGTGGTGTTTTACCATGGTTTATGGAGAAACAAACGAGCCATTATAGGAAATTTATTCTGATTGTGTTTCCATCAAGATAAGACGTTTCTGTCTTCCCATTGTTTTTTCTCGTAACAAATTTATTCCATAATTGATGGATTCGACCGTCACTTGATGAAAATTCATTTTATGTAACAATAAAACACTGAAAACTTTGTTTTCAAACTTCCAAAAAATGTATTTTAAATCTTATCACTACAGCTGTTTCGGCTGATTGCCTTTCTCAAGTGATCTATTTTTGGCTTGGGTTTACAAATTTATAGTCTCTAATGAAATAGGTTGAGGAGGGGAGAACTGTTTTGTCTCAAGTTAGTCATTCAGAATTATATCTGTTTTTTAATTTGTTGATTTCCATAGATTCTAACAAAGATAGCTTAAGGCCTTTATTTTGAAGGTGAAGAATTTTAAATTTATCAATAAAAGAATGATTATGATCTAGAAGGTGAAGTGCGTATGTCAAATCTGTTTTTCTATTCTTGAAAGCCCTTTTATGTTCTGCTATTCGTTTATCAAAGTTTCTAGCAGTTTGACCGATGTAAGTTTTTGGGCAGTCGCCACATTGAAGTTTGTACATACCACTACATACCAGTACGTCGTCTACGTATCTCCACAATATATGTTTTACAGGAACTAACAGGCAACTCGACCAATTTTTATCGTATATTAATTCACTTCATAGTTATATTGAATTTACAATAGAAACAAAACAAAATCAATCCATAAATTTTTTAGATTTAAAAATTAGCAGACTTCAAAACAAACATGACTTCTCCATATTTCATAAACCCATACTGACACGACTATACACAATTCATCATCCCATCCAACACAACATAAACTGGCAGCTTATCATAGTATGTTACATAGATTAACAGAAATTCCTATGTCAAAATACAACTTTGAGACAGAATTAAATATAATTAAGCAAATGGTAGTAAACAACGGATACAACGAACAAACAATTAATAAAATGTTTAATCAAAAACTACACAAGAAAGCCCTGAAATTAGTATTTCCACCATTAGAGAAAAAACCCAATACCTTCTGCTCGATTAACTATACAGGCAAAATAACAACAAAAATTGCCAAACACATAAAAAAGAAAGGAATATCACCAGCTTTCCGAACAAATAACAACCTAGGCAAATATATTAAAAATAACAAGAGCCAAAATAAAAAACACTTAAATAGTGTGTGTACAGACTTCAATGTGGCGACTGCCCAAAAACTTACATCGGTCAAACTGGTAGAAACTTTGATAAACGAATAGCAGAACATAAAAGGGCTTTCAAGAATAGAAAATACGCACATACGCACTTCACCTTCTAGATCTTAATCATTCTTTTAATGACAAATTTAAAATTCTTCACATTAAAAATAAAGGCCTTAAGCTATCTTTGTTAGAATCTATGGAAATCAGCAAATTAAAAAACACAGATATAATTCTGAATGACCAACTTGAGACAAACAGTTCTCTCTCTCCTTAACCTATTTCATTAGAGACTATAAATTTGTAAACCCCAGCCAAAAATAGATCACTTGAGAAAGGCAATCAGCCGAAACAGCTGTAGTGATAAGATTTAAAATAAATTTTGTGAAAGTTTGAAAACAAAGTTTTCAGTGTTTTATTGTTACAAACTTATTCCAGGCTGACATGTCTTGTAAAGTTCTTTGGTTGTATTTGGTGACTTTTTGTTGCACACATTGCACATTTTGGAACACACTGCTTTGATTTTGGAGGTATTAAACTGAAGTCCACTTGAAAATGATCATTCTTTAATATAATTCAGGACTTTTTGGACATTGTTATGGATAGTTTTTATGTTTTTTCTGTCATAAGCTGTAAAACATTAGAACGTGTTGAGATTTCTTATTTTAATTTTTTATTTTATTAATAAATAAATATAAATCTCCTTATAATATGGATCAATCGGTAAAAAAAGTTCATTGCAAAAAAGATTGACCTGATGATAACCATCCACGTACCTTTTATAGCATGTAAAACCTTATTATATGACTTTCGTATATTATTTTAGTACGTCTTGTTTTTTGTTGGTAGTTTTTAAAATCAAATTTATCTATTTATTTACAGGTTGTGAGCTCTATGGACGCAATGAAATATTCAATGGAAGCGGATAAATATCGTTCACCCTATATGCCTCCTTCTACTCTCGCCATGTCCATGTACTCAGATCCTAAATATATGGATTCGCCATCGAAAAGCTATTTGGAACGCGGATACCTCGATTCTACATCGGCTCTAACCAAAGCCTACTTCGAATCTTCTAAAATGTACATGGATGCCAATATAGCAAATAAATACAATCCGGATGCTACAAGGAGTTACGCTCATGGTAAGTTTGTGGTTTTAATAAAAATACATTTCTGTCTATTTTATATTTTTTATTTCTAAAATTATATAATTGGACTCAGTCATCGCTGTACAAGAAGATCATTTGCGCAGGTAGACGGTAAATTTTTAAGATCACTAATATAAACTGAAACTTCACGTTGACAGTATAAACGAAACACCTGAAACCAAACCCGTCAAAAACGCAGGTATATGCTTTTTATTTATAAATAATAAAGAGGCTGACAAAAAGCTTAACGTTGTGTAGTCGGGTCTAAAAGAGCTAGGCATTATTTTCGACAGATCCCTGACATACAAACACCCCTGTCAGAATACAAAAATTTAAAATCGCATCAAGAAACAATATCTTAAATAAACAATTAGGTACAACTTGGGGTTTCTCAGCAGCCGAATACGCGACTCCAGTCTGAAGACTCTTAACACACATCTCGCAGGTGAACACTGTTCTAAATGAGATGTGTCGAATCATTACAGGTTTCACAAAGGACGAAAAAGACAACTAAGTCAAAGACCACGGTGACCTTTATGATCACGTTGAATCACCCGACCGACTGAAGTCAAAAAACTTTGGAGCCGGTACGATCCACAACCGGTACTCTACTATAGGGAGGAACTATCTTCATCTGGAGGGGGAAAATCTGGAACCATCTTCATCTATAGGGAGGTTTCTTCATCTGGAAACCACATGCGGCGTTATCCGCTGCAGGGACAATCTGAAAAAGTGGGACTAGTGTGAAGGGCGGCTTGATCGGTTCGGATTAAGAATTTCTTTTTCATAGAGGTACTAACAGAAGTGTTCTACGGATTTCACTACTGCTAGAAGTTGTCTTCTGCTGATGCAATAATTTCGCTCAGGTTTTAAAAGCACTATAGTAAAATATCCATTGACTGCTTCCTGCCCTTCTTAAATCTGAGATAGCACTCTTTCAATTCCCATATTACTTGCGCCTGTATCTAAGACAAACTCCCATTCTGGAAGTGTATATCCGAATATCGGTGCTGTGATTAAATACTTTTTCAAGGTTTCAAAGGCTGTTTAACAGTCTCCTTCAGCAGTAATCCCTTGCTTTCTCTGTAAGTCGCGTTAATGGGTTAGCGGTATGTGCAAACTTCTTAAAGGACCTCCGATAGTGAATACATAACCCAAGAGCTGTTTGGCGAATTGGCTTAGCATTACCAGTATCAATTTTATGTTTGACAACAGTAGTTCTTCCCGTCTTTCTTTTTTTAGGTACGAAAATATCACCGACGAAGAAATTACTTTAATTTCCTTTTCTCCACCTGATTTAGAGACTAACTAGCAACTGCAACTATTTGGTCAAATTTTTCCTTGGGATTATGAGATGTTGTCGTCTGACAGATTATAGATGTACACATATACCGGTACACAGGATCCTACTTTTGTCTCTTTCTTGATGGTCACAACTGTATCGCCTTTATTAGCTGCATGAACAGTGCTGTTATCATGTAGATGAAAAAATACCTTATCGTTACCAACTTTGATTACTCTATTCTTAAAATTCAATTTTAACACATGCAAATTCAATACTTCGATTCCTAATATAACTTCTCCAAGGATGTTAACATTTTTAACTGCAGTCAGCAGTCGAAGCTTCGTTGGTAAAAGTTTCTTACGGCTGTTTTATCGGCATATAATGGTTCTGATCGCTCGGGTTTTATCCAAAAATGTATGCTGTTTATCATTTATTTGTTCACGACATATCAAAGAATCTATTTCAGGTTTACAGCGTTTTCTCTTTAAAACCATCCAGTCGCTCTTGTAGCTGCTTCTAACTGTTTCATACAGTTGTTCCATCACGATTTTCCGCCAAACATTGGGACTTGGCGGACAGAGCTTCCAGTCGCTTCAAATTTCGGCTGTGGTTTCAACTTACATCTCGCCTCGATGTTTTTTGTCTCTTCTATAATGTATTTGATTCTCTCTTTTGTCTTGGAAAGCTAAAATATCGACAGCAACTTAGTATTTTAATGAAAATATTTTATCGTCGAAGTGAGAAGTGACCTTAAAGATTTCCAAACAGATGTTAATAAAAACTTTGCTTTCCAGAGACGAAATCTCCTTAAAAACTTTATTTTCTAGATACACAATGTGTGTCGAAACTTTGGCCACATCAAAAGAAACTTTTAAAATACCACAAAAAACTTTGTTTTATTAAGATGTGATCGATATATTCACAACAGATTTCCTGTCATATATAAGAAACTCATTGGTTGCAGTGTAGAACAGACAACTTCCATTGAAGAAGTCAAAAATTATTTTTTGTTAATTACCTTAAATCTTATCTTAAATACTACCAGTAGCTCATAAAACTGATGACCTTTTATGTTTATTGAAGTTTATTCTGTCTTAAACTTAAGATATTTGTTAATGAAAGGTTATACGTGACTTGAGAGATTAATTTTTTTTCAATTAGGTAAATTTTTTATAAATCTGAAATCTCTTTTCTTTAGCAGGCTTAGAACTCGGAAAAATGTACTCAGACCATCACCAACACCAGCAACAGCACAGTCAACAAGTTTCGATGAGTTCACCTAGATCATCAGACTCTCCAGATGTGAAACCAATGCAAGACAGGCTAGAAGGTAGTTCGTCATCCAGTTCGACAACGACTTCTTCGGCAGGCGCTTCGCCTGGAGGTCTTCCCGGGTATTATCCTTCGAGTGCAATGCAACAAAGTACCGCCGGATTACTGCCGATGGCGCAGTATCCCGGGCAATATCCTTCGCAGATACCCGGTAGTGAATTTAGGAAACCGCTTACTGTCATATTTTGACCAGATAGAATGTGAACGTGATTTTTAGTGATATTCGTAGGTGAGATTTTTTATTTTAAAGTAACCGTCGTAGCGATGTATCGCCATTCTTTAAGATATTTAATAGTTGGAGAACCTGAAACTGTGGAGCTATTTTCCTTAATGGTACGCTGGTTAGGGAACAATTTACAATCATTCATTCTTACATGTATAAAAGTATATTATTTAAAGTTGTAAAAATAAAATATGAATTCCTTTTTCCTTTTTTATATTCTTCTTTTTATCTTCCCTAAGCTATTTCTTTGTTCACTTTTTGTTGTCATCTTCCTACTCGTTTATCTTTCCTTTTTTTATTTGAAACTGCTTCAACCACAACGGTTATTAGCAATGATCGATTTTACAGATAACATACATATAAAAAAAAAAGAATACGAAGAATACCAACGTATGGTACGATTGTGGTCACTATCTTCACTTAAAATGTCTGTTATTGTTGTAGGTACTTGTTCACATTGTATTTCAAATGCCTACAACGGACACTCCACCAATTAGTGATGTACTGTTAGATCACTATCACATGCGTAACACAAAGGTTTGGGTTGCTTCTGAAATAAGAAATCATGAGTAATCTTGGTTTGTCTTATTCGTAGTGTGGAGATGATAACTTGATCTCTTCTTTTTATAGGTAGCCTCCATGAAAGGACAGTTTGTTTTATGGCTTTGAGGTTAGAATTTGAGACATCCCAATGTTTCCTGTCATTTGTTCATAATATTCCTTTTATAATATTGTTTGACATCAAGATGGTGACAAGTAGATATTGTCAATGAAATTGGTTTCTCAATTGCTTGTTTAGCAACGTTGTCGGCTGTTTTATTTCCTTTTATTCCATAATGTGAAGGGATCTAAAAAAACAGAACAGTTCGATGATTGATTTATATTGAATTTAGATTGAATTATTAAGCTATTAACAATGTTATTTTCATGGACGAATTTTATTGCCTGAAGAATAGCAAATAGTTCAGCAGAGAAAGATAGTGAATTGCTTAGGGAGTTGAAATGACCGTTTCACACCACTCCATTTTCCGACTTTGACGCATCAGTATAAATGTGGATGGGCTTGTGATGACTATTTAACTTCTCTAAGGTTTTGGTTTTAAAGAGGTATGATGAATTATCAGATTTTTTATATGATGTAAGACTAATATCACACTTAGTAAGAGATATTGTCCATGATGGAGGATTATCAGAGTTTGTAAGTGTGTGTATATAGGAGTACAGTGATGTCTAGGTTATTTGATTTGTCTAGGTTATAATTGCGAAATTATAAACTGGATCGAGAATGTTTAATATTGAAGTTTTTGTCGAGTTGTATTGTCGAATTATGGATCTGTATAGAGTCATTGATATTTGAAAGCCCGCTCCCCATTTCTTGTGAGCTATACTTCTTAATAAATTTAGTCCATTTTGTGTAGATTGTCAAAGAAAGTGTACATGTTCTTTTCAAGTTAATACGTTATCTATTCATTCATGCCAAGAAATACAATAGATTTTACATATTCAATAGAATTGTTATTTAATACCAGGTTTGGAGGGACTAACCAGCTCTTAAGCGTTTGCTGAAAATCAGAGCTTTTATTTCATTGGAAGAGAACCGCAGACAAGTAGTATTAGAGCAGTTTTCTAGTTTGCTAATGGGTCCTTGAATATGATGTGATATTGATGATCAATTTTTTCCTCTTGAGTAGATGAAGACAGGCTTTGACTAGAGGTGAAAGTGAGTTGGCAATATTATTGATTGCAATAAGAAATAGTAACACTAAGAGTGGACCCTTGAGGAATACCGTTTGATTGGGTTTTAGTATCAGAGTAAGTTCTGTCTATTCGAACTTGGAAATGTCGCTTCAGGAGAAAGTTTCGGATAAAATTATTGACCAGCTTGACAAGGTATTTAAAATATCTTGTCTCCAAATTGTATCATAGGCCTAAGTTATATCTAAGAAAACAGCTAAACAGTCCTGCCCACAGTCAAATTATTCATGTACTACAGACTCTATGTCGACTAGGTTATCAGTAGTAGACCTAGATTTTCTAAAGCCTCTTTGAATTGAGCTAAGAAGTTTATTTACCTATAGGTGCCACAGTAAACTATTACTGACCATTTTCTCGAGTAGTTTATACATGGAACATGTTAAAGAGGTGGGTCTGTAAGATTGTGGACTCGATTTACTTTTACCATTTTAAGTACATTATGATAGATTTATACCAATTAACAGAAAAGACATTTTTTGTCCAAATAAAATTGAAGAGGTCTAGTAGACAGTAGCTTGCCTTTAACAGGTAAAGCTTTACGAAATATGGTTGGGATGTTGTCAGGACCGGGACTTAAATTCGTTGATTGGTTAAGAGATTCATGGAGCTCGTCAATTATAAATTCCACATGAACTGGTGTGATCGTCATAATCTCTTTTTTGTTTATCCAAATATATCGATGGCCTAGAATGAAAAAGTCGTAAGTAGGTTTTTACAAATTATACAGGAGGAACAAAAAACCGGTTATTTTGACCAATAATGGTTTTAATGAAAAACTTTTTGGTACCATATTAGTTTTTAGACTAATACAATGAAATTGATATTAAAAAAATCTTAATGAGTAGGAATTATGGAGAAAACCAAATTTTTTTGGACTTACGACTTTTTCAGATAACAAAATTCTAGAAATTACCTGACTTACGATATTTTCAGATATCAAAATTAAAGAAGCCAGCCTCAACATCACATTAAATACATTTATTAAGAAATTATTACAAAGTTTCAGTACAAAATAAAACTAATAAAATATAATGATTATGTTCTATAGCTTTAGAAAAGAATTTATTTTACTCGTGTGGTAATGAATCATAGAAATTGTGCACCTCTTTTGGAAGGACACGTTTCATTTCTTGCACGTGTCTAAATTTTATAGCTGTAATCTTCGGTTTCTTTTGATATAAAGGTGTGATTCGTTCCAAGTCTTCTACAAGAGGCATTTTAATTCTGCGTGGAATATTAGAATACTCATCTTCATAACTTGTCTTTACCTTTAGCTCCCCATTTGGGCAATATTGAATACATTTTATGTCTGTCACTACAGGATCGCCTGCTTTGTTACCCGGTCTCAGAGACGAGACATAGTTTAAACTACTAAATTTCTTGAAAAAAGTATACTCAAGCCATTCAACATTATATGGTTTCGGTTTAATTCTGGCAGTTCTACATATTTCTATGTAATTACTTGGAGAATAAATTTCTCGGTTCTGCAATTTTCTCTCAATAGTGGCATGCATAGCATCACATTCCATTTGTGTATGGCCCTTCTCTAAAATTTTTTGAGTAATTTTTATTCCTGTTTTGACAGTCGCAAGCAAGAATGTATTTGCCAAAATTGAATTCCTATTCTGGTAATTACAACCGTCACTAAAAATTATTATTTCGTTCACGGGTGGTGACAAATCAAGTTTTGTACAGATTAAATGAAATATTATAGAACAGAATTCGTCAGCATTTACTCCTCCTTCACTTTCATCCCACAAAAAACAATATCCTTCAGACGATTTTATATCGAATATTGTAAAATTGTGGACTTTTAGCTTGGTTCTGTAATAGAGTGCTGATGCCTTTAATACGGGACGTAAAAGTACTGCTTGTAAGTCCATTGTTAATACAATTTTACTGTTGTCAGAGAATTTATCTGCATTTTTTCATTCCTTGCTAGTGTCTTGTTATTTTGGTGTATCATATAATTTTCTTCACTTTCATTTCCTAATTTGTAAGCGGTGCAAAGATCACATTGATCTTTTCGAGGACTAAACAATGATAAATTTTTGCTCTCAAAAACATCATTAAAAGTGAAAGATGAAGCCGGTTTTTGATTCATTGCATTGCAGTATGTTATATATTCACGATAAAGAGCTGCCTTTGAAGACCACATTGGTTCCAAATATAACTTTTTTGTTGATTTTCGACAATAATGCGACTCTACTTTGGGAAGAGCATCCAAAAAATTATTAATACAGTTTCTAGAATCCTCAGCTTTATTTGAGCCAGCTTTAGGTTGAGCCTGCACATTTTTTTCTTCATTGGCTTGTAAAGAATCCAAAGCAGAAGCTTCCTCCTCTTCAATTTCGGACTCCCTTGTACTATTCAAAGAGTTTTGTACTTTCCTACCCAGTCAAATACACATCTCTCTCCAATTGCCAATGTATTTAAAAAAAGTTTCTTACAAACTTTGTACTTTTCTTCAGCTGTACTAAGTTTTAGGTAGTATTCATAAGTAGTCTGTCTTCTGAATTTTTTCTTGTTTTTATATTTTCTTTCCTTGACGCTAACAATATTGACAGATTGAGCAACAAACATTTTTTTTTCATCCCAATTCATATCCCAAAACTGAGCAAATATTTTTTGTCTTTTGGATTCATCAAACAAAGCACATTTGAGTTTCTTTCCAAGTTTACCTTTTTTGCAACCACAATGTACTTTTAATTTTCTTGCTTCTCGCCCAATAGTAAACGAATTTCCTTCTCTTCCCAAGTAATTTTGTCCTCTCATTCTCTTATCTTTGTTTGACTTTTGGATCCACTCTCCCTTTCTCGGTTTACCTTTTCGTGCTCGTTTTCTTATATTTTCTGAAGAAATTTCCACGGAACTATCAGAATTGATAGGCTCATCTGTACCAATGTTTTCCAAGATTTGTTCACTTGAATTGGAAGCATCATTTACGTCATCATTTTCTGCAGAAATTACAATCGAACTACTAGCATTGGTCAGATCATGATGTATAGTTGCAAGATTTGCATCAGTGTTGGTTCTTTCATTTAAATCTGTATTGATGTTTTCCAAAATTGGTTTACTTGAATCTGAAGTACAACTTTTGTCACCAACAAGTCCAGGGGTATTAATTTCCAATTGCAAAGAACCATCTTCTTGGACTAAGAAATTTAGAGAACTTTCAACTACAGGAAAACTATTCATTGTAAATATTATA